GAATGGGAAACTAATTTGCTCTGTAAAGTTTCACCTAAAACACAATAAAATATATTTTTTAAATGTCACATCTTTCAATTAGTGCACATTATTTAAACCTCTAAGATCATCCTCTAGCCCAGCACTATCTAACAGAACATTCTACAACCATGGAAATGTTTTATCTCGGCACTGTCCATTTGGTAGCCACTACCCACATTTGGATGTTGAGCACTTGAAAGGTGGTTAGTGTAACTGGAGAACTGAATTTTTTTATTGTGGTAAATATATATGTAACAACAAATTTGCTATTTCAAAATTCTTCACACGTAGAATTCAGTGACATTATATGTGCTCATCATGTTGTGAAACCATCATCATTATTCCTTTCCAAATTTTTCCATCACCCTTAACAGAACCTCAGTGTCCCCTAAGCAATGAGTCCCCCTTTCGCCTTACCTCCTGCCCGCCCCTAGTGACCACTTTGGTCTCTAAACACTTGGCCTATTCTAGATACTTCATATAGGTGGGATCATACAATATTTGTCCTTTTGTAACTGACTTATTTCACTCAGCATAATGTTTTCAAAGTTCTTCCATGTTGTAGCATGTGCCAGAACTTCATTTCTCTTTACAGCTGAATGATGTTCCAGTGTGTGTATATACGACATTTTGTTTATTCATTCATCTCTTGATAAACACTTGGATTGTCTCCATCTTTTGGCTGTCGTGAATAGTGCGGCAATAAACATTGGTATACGGGTTTCTGAGTTCCTGCTTTCAGTTCTTTTGAGTATGTATCTAGAAGTGGAATTGTTGGATCCTATGGTAATCCTATGTTTAACTTTTTGAGAAACTGACAAACTGTTTTTCCACAATGGCTGTGCTATTTTACCATCCCACCAGCAATGGGTGAGGGTTCCTATTAGAAGAACTGAATTTTTTATTTTAATTGATTTAAATTCAGATAGTCACATGTGGTTGGCAGACAATGCAAATGTAGACCTAAACGGAAGATGCTTCTATGAGTGTCATGAAGAACAGTTTCCTTCTTTTGTATTAATTCATTCTAAATTGAGAAAATATTTAAATATTGAAAAAAGTCAGAAAAATCTCTAAATTAACATGACTGTGAATAAATAGAAAAGAAAGATTAGAACCTGATTCAAACAAAATCTAGGATTGCAATTTCCCTCAATGGCCTGCCTAAGTTAAAAAAACAAAACAAAACAACAAAAATGCATGTGTAATTGGAGTATGCGTGGCTGCTTTTAAAAATTAGTGCTTATTGTTAAAGGAAAATGATCCAAGGTATACACATTGATTATAATAAACATTTTAAAAAAGATGTTTACATGTCTCGTGCATTGGTAATGATTGTTCATTCATTTATTTAATGCCTACAATGTACCAGGCACTTTGCTTATAAGGGAATTATTATTCTCTTAATACACTACAGCAAAAAATATCCCCCAAATAGCGATATTTAACCTGATGTATTTGAGGTGATTTGATTTCCAGCGATCTCACATATTCATTTCATTTTTGAGATAGGAAATAATATAACCAAATGATATTTACTTTTTTGGATTTGACTGCAAAACCTAAGTCCAAATATCTAACTACTTTAAAATGCATAACATTTACCTCCAGAAAATGAAAACAACATTGACATCTGTTTCCAACAGGTATATATATATTACAAGTACCTAAAACAATATGCATGAACATTTTGTAGAAGAAATTTTATTAAAATTCATTTTCCTGAATTAGAATTTAACCTAAGACTTCCTAAGAAGTCATTGGAAAGATTTTGATTAAAATAAAATCCATCCTACTTAGTTCTATAGAAAATTGATTTTAAATATATATATGAAAACCATTTCTGGGTTATTGGGTTTGGGGACGATCATTCATTCTTTCAACAAACATTTATGAAGTGTCTACTACGTGCAGGCACCATGCTTGACACCAAAAAGTTACATTCTCTTTGGCCAGGAAACAAGTCCAGGGAGCACATCAAATTGCACAATGATAGAAACATTATCATTTGCCCCAGAGCCCTATCTGGATCAACTGATGGACACTGGTAATGCCAGGAAGCCACGTCCATACCTAAGTCACAGTGATAAGATAAGTAGATTACTAGAGAAAATGATATCAACTGAAGATACCGTAGCAATATTGCATTAAACCAGGCTTTGGAAACCTTTTTCTACACCTGGTTGAGCAGGAGCAGGAGTTTGCTGGATCAGCTGATGGATACCGCTAATGTTGAACATACACCCATTCAGGAGTTTCTACATGTACAGTTCAGTGACATTGATTACATTCTTTGAGTTGTGCAACCATTCTCACCCTCCTTTTCTGAGTTGTTCTTCCTGCAGTAACATAAACTCACTGCCCCCTAAGGTTCCTATCTGATCTTTCAAGTTACTGTTGTCCATTTGATCCCATATAGATAGTTCTTAAAAGAGCATAATGTTCAAGGCAGACATTCTTTACTATTTAAACTAAACGATTGGTCATAAACTTAGTAGAAAAGCCAATGAGGGACACGGCTAATGCCAGGTGGAGATTACTGAAATTGTCCTTTCTCGGAGTTCCATATGTATGAAAGCACAACAAATGACAATGTATTTATACCATATTTCCATTCCATCTACCAGAGTGACACTGCCATATTTTGCTTTGGGCAGCTAGATCAACATGTATAGATAAAATAGTATACACTATACATCAACAAAAAGTAATCCAGTAATTAAAGCAAAAAGGCTCTGAAGTATTTATTGATCACTCTGAGTGGGCCTTGTTCTAAAAGTCACAATCAAATGGGATTATGACATTATGTTAAATAATTTTTGAAAGGCTAAAACATCATATACAAGGTAGAAATTCAATTTTGCAATGTAATAGATACATTTGCAAAGGAAAAAATGCCAAGGAATTCACCCAAATCTCTGGTGATTCTTTTTTATACATTTACATATTTTCCAAACTTTCTACAATAACCATACATACATTTATAATCAGTAAAAAATCATACATATATATATATATATACAAAACATATAACACAGTAAAAACCATTCTTGCCAACTGTTCCAAAACTGGGTTTATAGACCAGGGTAAGTTCTCACATAAGGAAGTGGCTGTTGACTACAGGAGTGGTTTCAGAGGGTTGGGAAGGCTCAGGGGTCGGCCCAATTAGCTAATGACTGGAAGCCCTTTAAGAAATGACAAAGACTTTCACTTTCTAAAGTTGAGGTTTAAAATGAATATTCTTGGAGGAAATGGAAAATACTAACATGTTTCCAGGATGGAAACACCTGAGAAAGGCGGCTTTTTCCAGCTCTAAGGCCTAGTTAGGTCACTGGATAAATGTAGTATTGCCCTCTGGTGATGTTTGACTCCCTACAACACACATCTGTAAACATTTGGTAATGAACATTTACAGAAGTATTACTAACCACCATATAGTTTTGAAAAGTAACCTTTTTTCTTATTATAAAAAAATAGTACAATGTTCTTTGTAGAAAACTCAAAAAATATGGAAAAGCCAGGTAATAAAATCAAAATCATCTATAATTCCATAACCCAGAGGTAACTGCCATTAGAGTTTTGGTATATAACCTAGTAATTTATTCTTGGTGGGTGTGTGTGTGTGTGTGTGTGTGTGTGTGTGTGTGTGTATGTGTGTGTAATGGTTTATAAAATTGGAATTATCCTATTTATTGTATCCTGCTTTCACTGTTCAATATTTTATCCTTAACATTTTCCTGTCATTAAATATGCTTTGTAAGCATCATTATATTGAGTGCTTAGTATTACTGATGGCAAAAAAATCTTCTTTTTTGATAAATAATATTATTCTATCTACCATGGATATAATATATCATAAGAACAGATTCAAAATGTATCTAGTATTTGAAAGACTAGCCAAGAGATTTTCTGAATTAGTGATCTCTCCTGTGTCTAAGCAACCTGAGGAATTTGACTCTAAAATGATTTTGTTCTGCTCAAATTCCTAAAAACACCCATATTATGCACAACGATAAATCACTCATAAATTTTCCAAAATACAGTCCTATATTTAGACAATGGAAACTCCCTAAAAAGTTAGACAGTAAACCAAACCCCAAACTTAACCCATTGTCACTGAGTCCATTCCGACTCATAGTGACCCTATAGGACAGAGTAGAGCTGCCCCATAGTGTTTCCAAGGCCCTGGTGGCGCAGTGGTTAAAGCACTCAGCCAGTAGCCAAAAGGTTGGAGGTTCGAAGCCACCAGCCGCTCTGTGGGAGAAAGACGTGGCAGTCTGCTTCCATAAAGATTTACAGCCTTGGAAACCCTATGGGGTAGTTCAAGTATCCTCTGTCCTATAGGGTTGCTATGAGTCAGAATTGACTCAGTGGCAGTGGGTTTGGTTTTTTTGGGTAATCTTTACAGAAGCAGCCTGCCACATCTTTCTCCTGTGGACGGCTGGTGGGTTCAAACCACTGACCCTTTTGTTAGCAGCCAAGCACTTAACCACTGAGCCACCAGGACTTCTTTAGATAGTAAAGCAATTCCGTAAATCTCTTCTTTTTTCCCATGTATAAGCAACGCAGGCTCTCCAACCCTGGCTCTGTCTGCTGAAGCAAAGCAAATCAATCACGGTGAGATTAAAGGAAATACTAAAGTAAAATAAAATAAAAATATATCCTTAGCACAAACTTCAGTTTTTGAGTAAATTCATCTGTTTTTCTTTCAGACTAAGTAGAGACTGATTTTTCTGAGAAAATTTTAATTCGGAAGCTATATAAAACAATTCTGTTAAGGACTGGCCCTCCCAAAACATATTAGCATGGCAGATATCTGCTCAGAAAGAGTTCTGAAAATTCTTCTTACTCAGCATGCTAGTCATAATTCCTTTGAAGCACATGGCGGGGGGTAGATTCTATGGAAAATTTTGCAATTTCAGCTTAAAAGGAAACTCCATTTCCAATTATCTTTGGTGGTTTGGAGATCCTTTCCTTACCTGCAAGGCAGTTTAGGATCAGGAAGACCTTCCAAAATGCGAACACCATCTTGTTGAGGTTCGTTGAGAGCAGCCAGGTGCCAGTAGCTTGCCTGGACGAGGCTGAGTCTCAAACTGGCTTCTTCAATCACACCGAGGTTTGCCAGGCTTATCTGCTGGGCATCACCAAGCAAACATGCCTCTGGGAGCCTACTTACTGGGTACAGACCTTTCTCAGAGCAGATTTGTGTTTCTTTGAAACGCTTTTCCTGGGGCGTGTATCCTTGATATATTTGCTACTGTGTTAATAATAAACCCACGTATTTAAATTCTTCAAACTCTTTGTACACAGATTCTCTAAGTTTTAGTGTTTAAAAACTATCCTATTAAAGTTATGCTTGAGGGGAAAAGCCATACTTAGAAGACAATCTATGCAAATGAAAGCTGACAAGGCTAATTAATTTGAAATATTTCCAGAGAAGTCTTACAGTATTGATTCACTAAGCTCCTTTTGCAAATTAGGTTAGTAAATTGGTACTATAAGGTTTCCCTCCGGAGGTGAGGTTCACAGGAAGGGCACAGGGGTTATGAAATGAAAAAGCATTCATTTCTGTGTGAACAAACTTTGGACATGTTACACTCGTTTGAAGTACTGCCCTTCACCGAAACTGTCAGTAGAATTAATTGCATGTTTATGTCCTCCAGGTTAGAAACCTTAGAATACTTATTCGCTAACCTAATTTTGCAGAATCAAGTTAGTGAATAAATAAATGTTTTAAGACTTCCACTGGATGAGTCTGAATTTTTGCAGAATTAGGTTACTGAATTGGTGCTATAGGGTTTCCTTGGAAAGGCGGTTCACTGGGAGGGCATGGGAGGCTGTACAGATAAGAAGTCTTCACGTGTACATGAATTTCTAGGAGAGTTCCTCTTGTGCTTAAGTTACCCTGAGAAACATAAGGGCCGCCTCTGGCTCTTCCCATATGATCTCTAACTCCTGTTGTTTCCATTTCTACAATGGCTCTCAGATTTGCCCCTTCTCCAATTTGCTGTTTCCACCCTGATCCAGGCACTCAGCTTCTCATCCCTACAGTAACAGCTTCCTAAATGCTCTCCCCAACTTCTTCCTCCTACACTCTGTGTACCAGGCACAAGCCACTGTTCTATCCCTGATTAAGCATCTTCAATAACACCCTATATGAACTCTTCCATCAACTCCTTAATCTGCATTCTGGGCCTTCCAAGATCTGGTCGTCACCTCATCTGAACTTCAGGCACATTAAATCATCCACCTGAAACATGCTGTCAAGATTTATTGCCTCAAAGTGTTCCATCACATGAAAATGTGCACATTTCGAGTGATATATTTTATAAATTTTAATTTACAGGAAATATGTGACCTATCTTATCTTAGCCAAGCTGATTTTCCACTGCTTCTTAGAAGGACATTTTGCTCCCTTCAGGCTTGGTTCCTTCCTGCAGCCTACCCTTCCATGCTCATGTCTGATGCCAAACCTTGGCTCCAGGTGACTTTCATCTCCGCTTAGAATTTCTTCCTTCCTCCTCTTGCTATCCAAGCATATTCTTAGTGCAGATCTGCCATGTTCTCCTATGTGAAGATTTCACTGAGCCAACAGACCAGTCCTTTCTGGGCTCCCCCTTGGATAAATCCGCATAGCACTTAGAGCCCAAACCCTACAGTTGGCACTTGATTGCACTCCAGTAGTTTCCTATTGATTAAATAGGTTTCCCCTAAACACAGTGGCTATGAGCCCCTCCAGGGCAAGGACCAGGTCTTATACAGACAATTCCTAATTAAGAAAGGGCGTGTCCCAAAATGTATTGGTAAGCCCATTGGATGGACTCAAGCATACACTTTCCTTCAGAAACAATGCTATAAACAGAAGTCTCATTCCTAGACTTAAGAAGTGCATAGTTTAACACTGGCTTGAATTCTGAGTGATGGGCCGCATAGGGCAGGGGAGGAGGAGAAGGAGCAGGAGGTGGCAGAGAAAGAACTTCCTTTCCCTTTCCCAAGACATGGATTGAGCACAAGGCAACTTATTTTCCCCAAATAACTATGACATGTCTTTGATACCCATCTTCTTTCCTACCCCCTCTAAGCGCCCCTGGCCCCCTGTTTCCCTAGGTTGCCCTAAGGGAGGGTCTTACTACCTAGAATATCCCATGCTCCAAAATGACTTTTTGCTTTCCATCCTGATTCCTCCCAGAAACACTCTCCCTTCTCTGTGCGAGCAGATATCAGCTCCACGTTAGGAGTGGGCAAAACCAACTCAAAGGGGTTCCCATGAACATTCCCCAATCTGTTCGCACTATTGAAACTATAATTCTGTTTCCCCAACTAAATTTCTGACTGGGAGTATCAGGTAAGGCAATAAAGATAAATGGTCTGAAGGAAGGGGTTTTGCAGAGGAGGACAACTTGTTGCTTGGCCCTCTGGAGATCCATACCAGCTCTTCTCAGCCTTGGTTCTGCCTTTACCTTTGAGTCCACCAAGTCTCCAAAAGACCCAAGACTTTCACAATGGCTCCCCTGGAAGTAATGCTGGCATTTCCAGTGGTGGGGAGTAGGAACTGGGAGGTGAACTTGGGGGCTTCCTGTGTTTCCTTCTATGCCCATAGATAGGGTAATAACAAATAGATCATTGAAACCAAGACACTGTTGAGAGTGAGAGGAATGCTATTAAAAATTACATGGAACAGGAGGTGTAAAGCGTAACAGTCCCAGGCAAACCTGGACATCTGACTACCTACCCGCAGGGCAGTGCTAGGCACAGAGAAGGTGCTAAGTAAGAACTTGCTAATTGATTCAATATGTCTAAGCGGGAGGGTATGATTTAAGGATATTGCCCAAAACCATCTGCACCAGAATTCTTTATACAAACAAAAAACACTCTGGAACATTTAAATAAAATGCTTATGTTGTTGCTATGTTGTACCTAACTGGAACAGACAGAATTCTGTTAAACTCTAAGAGATAATCTCAATTTTCTGCTTGGAACTGAATTTTTATGTTATTGGCTATTGCTCAAAAGAAGTGGGACATTAGATAGCACGTGAAATATTATTAAGTATCCTTCACATTTTTACAGAGCTTCATAATTTTCAAACTGCGTTCCCAGTTTATCTTCTCAACCAAAATAAATAGGGCAGGCATTATCTACATTTTATATATAAGAAAGCTGAGGCTCAGAAACGTTGTGTTTTTCCCAAGGCCACATAGCTAGCATTAGAAGCTGTTCCTCCCATGTGATTGCAGTATAACAAACATGCTACTGTTCCCAGGATTCTTCTTTGGGAACATTCAGAAATTGGTGATATCTGCTTTAGTCCTCATTTTTTTTTTTTTACTTAAAAATTACAAAAGTAATACAGTTTGATTTCTAAAAGATTTTGAAGAACAAAGACAAACATAGAGAAAAAAAATGAAAGTCCGCATTTACTCACACACGGGTAATCCCATGCCCATGCTTGCGAACAACAAGAGTTCAGCATTTTTCTCAGACCTTTTTCTATGTATTTACACACACACACACACACACACACTCACGTATTTTATAACATTAAGTGTATTATACTATACATATTGTTCCGTAACTTGCTTTTATCCCCCTTGAAAAAGAATTTTAAATCTCTCTTTATGTCAATATGTAAAACTACATCTGTAGATCTACCTTATCCATTTTAAGAGCGTATGGTATTTCATAGTATGGCTATATCAAACTCAATTAACTGTCCTCCTATTGGTGAACTCTTGGGTGATTTCCAGTTTTTCACTATTACAAACAATGGTGAGATTCACATCATTTTATCTCTGCCCACTTGTGTGATTATTTCTGTAGATTGTAGTTGCTGTTAGCTGCCATCGAGTCGGCCTGAGACTCATGGGGACCCCATGCACAATGGGATCGGACCATTGTGATCCATAGGGTTTTCATTGGCTGATTTTCAGAAGTGGATTGCAAGGCCTAGTCTGTCATAGTCAGGAAACTCTACTGAAACCTGTTCAGCATCATAGCAACATGCAGCCTCCACTGACAGATGGGGGGTGGCTGCGCTTGAGGTACATTTGCTGGGAATCAAACCCAGGTCTTCCGCTTGGAAGGTGAGAATTCTACCACTGAACCACCGCTGTCCTCCTTAGGTGCTTAGAAATGGAATTATTGGGTCAAAGGGTATGAACATTTTAATTTTTTGTATATTTTGCAAAATTGCCCACCAGAAATTCTTTAGAAATCTGTACTTCCATTATTAGTAGTTACTAGGGGAAGGATGGAAGGGGAAAGGGGGAATCATTATTTAGGAAGCATCGAGTTTCAGTTTATGGTGATGAAAAATTTGACAAAGGATATTGGTGATGGTTGACATGATTAATATAATTAGTGTCACTAAATTGTACACATAAAAAGTCTTGAATTGGCAAGTGTTGTATTATATATATCTTTACAACATTTTACAAAAAGAGTATCTGAAAGTGCCCACTTCTCCACGACCTTGTCAACAGTAAAAATTATCAGTCTTTTATTTTTACTTGTATCATGAGTGAAAGCTGGTATTTCATGGTTTTAAGCTGTATTTCTCTGAGGTTAAGCCTCTTTTCATAGGTTTACTGGCCAAATATTCCTTTCCCTGTGAATTTCCTGCTTGTGAACTTAGCCCACTTTTCTATTGGATTGTCTGTGTCTTAATATTGTAGAAGTACATTTACATATTATTAATATTAATCCTGGGTTTGGTACACATGTTATAAATATTTTCTTCCAGTCCATCACTTTTCTTTTTAACTTTATGTCTGTCACCATAAAGAATTTTTCAGTTTGTTGTAGTTAAGTGTATCAATTTTTTTCTTTGCTGCTTCTGAGTTTCATGTTTATGGAAAAGTTATTCTATATTTTCTTCTAATGCTTCTATAAATTTGTCTCTTGCTATCTCAGTTATGGCAACTCTATCCTTCCACATTTAATTTATCAGCAAATTCTTTGGACCCTACGTTCAAAATATATCCAAACTTTGACTACTTTTCCCCACCTTTACTGCTTCCACCCTTGTCGCCCCCTTAGACTCTTCACATCAGAGGAGCCAGAATGACCTTTTAATATGTAAGTT